TCGTCGTGGCTTGTGAGAGCAGCGAGATCCACCTCTCCAGTTTTTTCATCCTTGATTTTAAATTCGTGGCATAGTTTCCCCTCAACTTCAATTGGGAGGAAGTCTTTGTTTCGGCCCCAATCGTGAAGCTCGAAGCGTTGTAAAGTATGCAACAGCACCATAAATCGCGGAAGATCCTGCAGTAGGCAACGACAACTTGAGAAAAATCCGAGACTATGCAGGCAAGCAAGGTCAGATTCGACAACGCCGAACCCTAGTGATCAAAGGCATCATATTTTTCAGTCAATTAGATGTTTTCGTGGCCTTCCATGGATGCCGTTGTACTGAGCAGCAGTGTATGTGAAAAGTGATTTGAGTTGTTTTTGACCAATTTTTGACTTTCTCCCAGTAACTATAGCTAACAAAGACGAGTTTTTGGACAGAACGCTTCTAGGCCACATGTCGAATTTTTATTGTTTGTTAGTAGGAACAAATACTAAGAGCATGTTCGGATAGAAATATTTGCATGAAGTTTTGAAATATTGATCACGCAAATTCGTCGGCATTGTGCCGAAAGTTCGTCGGAGCTTTAATTAAATCAGCAGCTGTTATCAATTGATATTCAAAGGTATATCACATATCATATATCTCCTCGTCATGGATGCTCAAGAAGATCAATCGAAATGGATCGTCAACGGCTCGCCTTGCTCGTTTCCAATCCTCAACCGGAGGTTCGGGATCGTCTTGTTAAATGTATAGGACTTGTTATCAGTATAGTAGTCGCTGCAACACATGGTACATTGCAGACCATATATCCCAAGGACCGACACCATATCACACCTCGGCCCTCTCTGGGCAGGACTGGGTTATTGAATTACTAACTGGTCACCCAGAGCGCATCCGCTGTGAACTTGGCATGCATGCCTCTGCCTTTGTGGAGCTTATCACTCAGCTTCGCGCTATGGGCCACTCAGATTCCAAATTCATCTCCCTCGAGGAACAACTCGCTATCTTTCTGTATGCTTCGGTGACCGGCCTATCAGTCAGACATGTCAGGGAGAGATTCCAACACTCAAACGAAACAATATCTAAGTACATTTATTTTATCTAGGATGCAGTGGATATCTGACTCTAGCGCATAGGTACTTTCGCAGATCCTCGTTTCTTTCTCCTCCGAACCATTCTATTCAACATACGTCCAGTTTCCTGATGGGTCCGTCCCTCGCGAAGTCCGCAGAAACCCTAAGTGGTGGCCCTTTTTTTAAAGGTGCCATTGGTGCAATAGATGGGAGCCATATTCAGGTGACCCCAGGGCTACTGACCGTGCTGTGTATCGTAATCGGAAGGGGGTTCCTATCTCAAAATTGCCTTTTTGCGTGTGATTTCGATCTCAAATTTACCTATGCGCTCACCGGCTGGGAAGGCTCTGCAACGGACGCTCGTGTTTATGAAGATGCGTGTCTGAACGACTTCAAAGTTCCCCCACGCAAGTATTTTCTTGCAGATGCGGGTTATCCACTCCGTCCCGGCTTACTTGTGCCATACCGAGGTGTGCGCTATCACCTAGCTGAATGGGGACGCGCAAACACCAGGTAGGTCCTTTTACTTGAATCAAGCTCAATTTGGAACTCATCTTCCCTACAGGCCTGCTAATAAGAAGAACTATTTAATTTGCGACACGCATCAGCAAGAAACGTCATCGAGCGCATCTTTGGTGTTTTGAAGCGTCGTTTTCGGATCTTGCTGTTGCCGCCTGCATATGCCATGGAGTTGCAAGCGCGAATTCCCGCCGCATTGTGCGCCGTTCACAACTTCATCCGCGTGCATGATCCCACAAACATCCCCACCAACGAAGCCAACGATGAAGATAACGACGAAGACTAGCAGGGTGGATATTCTAGTGGAAATGCTAAAGAAGACAATATTATGGCTATCAAAGAAGATAACGAACTTGAGTTTCGTCAAGGATCTGCGATGCGTGATCGCATTGCATCTGCGATGTGGAATGACTATCAGCGCATCTTGTTAGAACGTACTTTCGAAGGGATAGATCTTGATGAGGGGGATGAGGACCTCGAGGACACTTTTGATGAGGATGAGGATCAGGACAGTTTTGCTTCGGAATAATTCACACTTCGAGTACCACTTTGTAGCCTCCAAAATCAGACAAACATTGATGCATTGCGACAGTTGTGAACATGTAGTATTGTACATACATTGAAACGAAAGCAAGTGGTAAAGAACAAGGTACATGATATATTTTCAGCCCGCCATTGCATCTGTGATGAGCTTCTCAATAAACGGACGCCTGATTGCTTTGTCCGTGAGGGACACATAGAACTTCAGGAATCTCTCGTTGTTCTTCTCACCAAGGACCATTATCAAGACAGCACGCTGGTCAGCAGGCATGTCAGCATCCTCAGTTTGCAGTAGGTGTGCTGCGCGTGTCACCAAGTCCATGCTGTCCTCAGGCTTAGGCACAGGTGGAGGCGGAGGCGGAGGCGGAAGGGTACCATTATTCATGGAACTAACAATGAATTTTTCAAAGATATCTGTCAGACGGTTGACAGTGCCCTGCAGTCCCATCACGGCAGCAGCAGGCGTGATCTTGGCGGCCTGTGTTGCACTGCTCATCTTGGCCGCATTGGTCATCTTCTGAGAGACGTGCGAACGTGCTTTCTTTGAGGGGGGGGCGGACACCAAGGTGGTGGAGACCGGCTGAGCCGAATCATGGGTCGACGCGAACGAAGTGGTCTCAACAGAATCCACATTGGTGCCCTCATAAGGGCGCTTGGCACCAGCAGAGCTGGTAGCGGTAGAGAGACCACTGGTGTTAGAGCGAGGACCGGTGGTGAATGAAGGGCCGGTGACAGATGAATGATTGGCAGTGGTGGAAGGACTGGCAGAAGAGAGGGCTGGAGCCTGAGCAAGGCCAGGCTCATCCTCATCAGCGTCTGGTACTGGTGGAGGACCCATAACACCTGGGTGGAAGGCATGGCGCCCTCTAGCGCCACCCAAGGGAATTATTTCCTGCATTTTCTCAAAGTAAGGCCAGCCTGTGTTGCGGAATGAACGCATGTGAGAATTGGACTAAAAAATGTTAGCTTTTATTTGAAAAATAAAAGGGGCTGACGTACACTGAGCGCAACATACGAATCCCACACAGCGGACGCTGCAGGGCCATGGATCCCAGCTCCATTGGCACCGTCCCAGTGTGTACCGGTCTGGTTGCGGTATTTATCGATAGTGTGATGAATAGACTTGAGCTGAAATATTGAATCAGTAAAGTGAGTGAAGGACAGAGTTGGATGGACGCACTGATGCCCACTTGCTCTTCACCATCTTGACGGTCTTTGCTGGACCGATCCGCAATGGTTGAAGGTCGGGATCATCGTTGATGACTGTTAGTGCAGAAGTATACACCTGTGGCTTGAAGTTGCCGGAGGTATCACCACTTGCACGGTTATCGTACATATGATTAACAAGTGCGGTGATTTCTTCGTTTCTCCAGTGTGCAGGTGTGCGCCTTGTAGGGATTTCATGGGCCTCAGGTTGAGCCATGATAAGATTGGTATATTGAGTACAGATCGCAGTAATCGCGATGACACCAGCGATCAGTCTATTGCGCTGGTGGATATCAAAGGAGGAGGAGGAGCAAGAGATCTCCATCGATTAGTATGTACAGTAGGAGACAAGGAAGGTTTAAGCTCCGACGAACTTTCGGGACAATGCCGACGAATTTGTGTGATCAATATTTCAAAACTTCATGCAAATATTTCTATCCGAACATGCTCTAGGTCATCGTATTTCTGCCAACCACCCTTGACCTACTGCCGGCAATTGCCACTGGCAGAATGGCAGATGATTCTGCCAACAACACTAGCACCGTGGAATGGAGTCCGACGCTCGCTCCAGCCTGAGGTGACAGATGCCCTAGGCGCCTAGGCCCTAGGCTCGTAACCAGCCTGGCGTATATGGCTACCCCTTTTAGTAGATCCATATTGAATATATCCCTGAGTCTTGGGCGATATCAGACTCGGACGATCAACACATTTGACAAGTTTGAAAAGTACAGTCATTGGTGGTGTTTGTAACACATACATATCAGATCCCTCGTCCACTCCTAGTAATCCCTCACAGGAAACCCTCCTAGGCTCCAGAACCTACCTTCGCTCATATACTCCCCAGTCAATCTCGCAGCCAAAAGGAAGAGCGATCCGTCCAGAGCTTCTGCACCCTCCAGCTCCGTATCCTTGAAGTAACCCTTGGGCCGCGCCATAAAGGGATGAGAAATGCGCAAAGGCGCGCTGAATCTTTGGCAGATGTTCATTTGGGTGCGTTATCACAGACTGAATACGTTCATTTCCAGTATAGCTGCTGCGCTTTGCCCCCTCTTGAACAACACCATTGTTCGAAGGCCACTGAGTCGTTGCAGGAGCTATCGATGCAAGCGAAGAAGAGAAGGAGAAAGAGTTCTTTTACGGAAGATTCGTAGTCTCTTTTACTTTTCAAGTTGCCTTGTTGTTTAGCAGATAGGTTGGGACTGTGAGTCATTTTGTAGAGCACAGGCTATCCGCCGATGAGGTCTACCCAGAGATTAGGCCTGCGCATTGTATGTGATGTATCGACCCTCAAACAAAATGTAACTCAATTTACTTAAGTGAAGGGGTGTACCGTGTTATTGCTAGAGCCTAGCAGTGACATCGTCAGGATTCTGGCTACCTACTCTGCGACTGCATCTAGTAGCACAATGTATTAATCTGAAAGTAACTTCAGCGTGACAAGCAGATACATATTTGAAGACAGCTGATGAATTTCGTATGGATCTAAATACTAGTAAGTAGCTGATAGTAGAATGCCCCAATGTACATAAGAAAGAAAGAAAAAAAGGGAGAGAGAGGTTCGGTTTGGAGCGTTGTTTTGTCATATGCCTCGATAATTAGGGCTGCACACCGTACCGTATACGGTAGACAGCCGTATACATATGGTATAAATACGGTATACAGCTAACCCGTACACCGTACATGACATTGGTGGTGGACGAAGTGGACGGTACGGTACGGTGAATTATACGGACGTATACGGCGGTGTACGGTACATACGGAATGCAAATCAACTATGAACGACCCAAACGAAGCCTCGCCTTCACGAGCATCAATGTCCTGATAGTCTCAGGCTTGAGACTAGCGCGCCGCAGTGAAACCGTGTCACGACCACCAGAGAAAACTCGTTCAACAGCAACAGCAGATCCTACAAAGAAGAGAACTAAGTACAGACACCTGGGACATGGAGTAAGTACTCACCAGGTATTGAAAGGATATCACGCACAAGTCGAGAGAGGTTTGGAAATTGTGCTCGGCGACCTGCCCACCATTGAATGGGTCCATCAGTAAATTCACACATTTCTTGGCAGACCTTTTTTCGAAAATTAAAACTTATTTTAACTTATTGACACTTATTCACCTTTATTCCTTGGCTGTTTGTTTTCACAAGTCAAAAAAGGAAGTGTATGACACACAAGTGCCGAAAAGTAGCATAAGATCAAAAAAGTCAGTTCAAGTATTCGAAACAGAAATAAGTACAGCAAGAGTAAATAAGTAGTTCAACTTGGTATGTAACCCGCGGCAGGTAGTAACTCGTGACCCATGTATTCATGTACTAGACATATGGGTGTAGGTACAATGTATATCAGTAGTAGCAACACAATAACGAGATCGACAGACTCACGAACTGTGAACAGCGGGAAATGACTTGGATCAGCGTGGCTTGAGCTCGAAGGGGGATCGACAGACTCATGAACTGCGAACGGCAGGAAACGACTTGGATCAGCATGGGTCTTGCTCGAAGGGGGATCGACAGACTCATGAACTGTGAACAGCAGGAAACGACTTAGATCAGCATGGGTCTTGCTCAAATGAGGATCGACACACTCACTTCCTGCGAGCGGTGGCAACGACTTGGATCAGCGTGGCTCGAACTCGAACAAGGAGGGTGCTGGAGGGCGCCAGGTATGGGTGCTGGAGGGTGCAGTTGGGCATGGTTGGATTGGGAGGATGCGAGAGATGTGCCGGGGGGTGTGTGGAGGGCTGCAGTTAGCAAAAATTGAAAGAACAATTGATAGATGCACGTACAGTACCCAAACCCAAACTATACAAACCGATTCCTTCAATCTGCATGAAGCTAAAGTCAGTATGACAAAGATGGGCGCATGCAGTTTCAGGATTTGTCAAAAATGAGCGCTGTGAACCATCACGCGTCACGTGTCATATTTGAACCACATCAGTTTTTCACACGAAGTTCACTCTCAACGTTAACGTTCAACCTTGTCTGACTCTCAATCTAACTTCCATGCATCATCTCACATACCTCCATACCTCAGTGTCTGAAACTTCACTCTCATGGTCTCGCACCCTTTCGCACACCTCCCAGTAAGTTTTTTTATTTGTTTTTATTTCCATTTTACTAAAAATGTCTGTGTCTGAAACTTCACCCGTCCTTTCGCATGGCCTCCAAGTAAGTTTTTATTTATTTGTTGTATTTTCTTTTACTAATAATGTCTGCTTGCCTCAGCATCTGAAACTTCGCCCGTCCTTTCATGTACCTCCAAGTAAGTTTTTTTTCATTTTTTTAAATTTCCCTTGACTAATAATGTCCGCTTGCCTCAGTGTCCAAACTTCGCCTGTCCTTTCGCATACCTCCAAGTAAGTTTTTTTCATTTGTTTTACTTCCTTTTATTAATAGTGTCTGCTTCATTGCAGTCTGCCGCTTGCCTCATGTGCCGTCTGCCTTGTATGCCGCCTTTCATTCCTCGCATCCCGCCTTTCACCCTCTTCAAAATTTGCTGCTGCTGGCTCCCCATTCTTTGAGTTTGTTTCTGCATCTAGTCGCCACTGCCACAAGTAGTTGTATTGTTTCCCCACTAGTACTTAGTAGTCCTATCATGTAATTATCCTTGAATGCAATATTTTGTCATTTTTGTCGAAACAAGTGTGAAATAAGTAGCCCCAACTTGCACTACTTGCAATGTGGGCTATTTTACAAATAAGTGCCAAAAAAGCCAACAAAAAGTTTGAAAAAAGTCGAAGTCAAGAGGAGGCATCTACTTTTTCGACTTAAATTGCCTTGTGGCAAGTTGATGGCAAGTTGGTGTCACCATTCTTATGAATGACTTTTCCGCTCCTTTTTTGGAATTACCCGGCAGCAAGTTGCAAAAAAGGAAGTTCAAGCAATGTGTGAATTTACTGATGCAGTTCGGAGGGTCCTAGATGAGAACCAAGAACCAGACCATCAGTTCAGTTCTACAAAATGTCCAAACCCAGAACTGGACCATAGAGAACCATTCTCTATGGTCTGGTTTGGTTTTTTTGGGGGTCTGAACCCAAACCAAACCAAAAAAAAAATAGAGCACAAGCAGCAGTGAAGGATGGCGATCATGAGCATGGATCAAGGATGGCGGTGAGCAGCAGCGGGAGATAGCAATGAGCAGCAGCGTGAGATGGCAGCGAGCAGCAGCATGAGATTGAGCATCAGTCCCTGAGTCAGAGAGGTAGCAGGAGGGTACTCCAGATTCTCAGCAATGCTATCACAAAACAATGAATTAATCCAAAAACAGTAACAGACACCCATATATACGCAAGCTCACAAACCAACAACTTATTCCCTGTAATCTTCTGCAAATAAGCCAGTGTTCCAGCATCAGCTGTGAGCCCCACATTGACTTCCTATACACAGCAAGCAGCCTGCATCAGACAAACGAGTGAGCAGCCATTAACAAGCCTTGATGGAGAACTTGGCGTCTGATGCTGTGTATCGGACATTGCATGCGGAGATGAGGTCTATCCTGAGACCGATCACGAGCCCGTGTGTTGCTGCTGTCATGGGGATTGGGCACTGCTCAGGCACTGCTACTGTGTGTTGGATGTTGAGGATGTCGGCGTGGATGAGGAGTGCGTGGCAGGCAGGGTCTGTAGTGTTGTTGGAACCAAGGTTTATGAGTCCTTGGACTGATGGAGATTAGTTGGTGGTCATTGAGGTAGGTTGGGAGTGGGCAGCGTACCTTATTTGTCTCCTCAACGACTTTCATTCTCCCATTCCTCCTTTCTCTTTTCCCCGGCGTCTTCCTTTCTCCTTCACCAAAGTGTTGTCCGCATTCATCTTAGCCATGCCAGCATTTGCTGGTGTGTGCTGGGCGCATACACTAGACACTGGTTGTTGCTGGAGTGGGGTGGTGGTGGGGTGGTGGTGGCAGCATGGTTGATGCTGGTGGCAATGTGGGCAGGCGATTCACACTGAACCAGATGCTCCATGCTCTTGGTGTGGATTCACCATTCACCATAAGCAAATGGTAAAACTGCGACGTATTTAAACAAATGTCAGTGTGTGAGAGAATCAAAATTTTGATTAGTTAGTACGTACCTCCAAAAAGGCTAAAGGCAGAGGAGTAGAGTGCAAATCCTGAAGTTCGGTCAATGTCAAGGTAAGTGGCATTGAAGTCAGAGTTGAGAACAGTTCGGAATGGTTCGGCAGGACCTAGAACTGAGAACTGATTTCTGGTTCAGTTCAGGCTGACATCAGAGCCATGGACAGAACCGTCCAGAACCGGACCAAAAGTCTGGTTCAAACCGTGGTTCTGAACTGGACCGCAGCAGCACTAACTGCAAGAGTTTCCAAGAGGTTCATGGTGGATTCTCTCTTGGTGCTCCATTGGCGCTAATGTTGTTGATTTACTCGCCCCATGAGTATACTGGGTGTTCTTGTGGCCACAGCAGTCTGTTGGCAAGTCAGTCAGCTGCTCATATTTCACTCTCCGCAACAGAAACAGCACACAAACCTTGACAGTTTATTCCAGTTTCTTTCATTATGCATGCTCAAAAATAAACTGGCGAAATAAACTGTTATTGAGTAGGGTTCTTAGGTGCTGTTTAGCGAATTCCATATTCAAATTTTGAATTCGTGGTCACATGCATTGTAATTATATAAGCTGGGTTACCATTAGGTTCTAATATGATAACAATCAATGCTAGTATGATGACATGTCAGCTGCTGCCCTACAACAAATTGACTATACCAGACCACTTGGGATGGTGCAACAAGAGCATATACAGCACTTGATGTTCATTCTACATCAGGAAATTACCAAGTTCCTTATTTTCCTTTTTGTTCCTTAGATTACTTGAAAAAATGGAATTAAGGCGGCTAAGTAAGTCTAAGGTGGTTAAGTAAGTCAAGGAGTCTCAGGACATATGGTTTGAAACCTTCTAAGTCCAACTTTTGTACATG